TGCTATGGTGCGAAAAGCCACCTTCTTTGTTCATTCTAGTTTCATTTAATGAAAGCACAGCCTGTTCATCAGTGTGGACGTTGTCAGGGAGCATTCACAGGCCAGTGCTGACAATGATTCACTAAGCCCATGCAGCTTCTTGCAAGGAAACAGGGAGCCATTTAGGGATCTCTACTAGTTCATGAAGTTTCTTCATCTCCAATAGATATTCCTCAACTAGAAAAGCTTTGATATGACTCATGACTGTTGAAGTGAAGGATGGAGTAAGAGATTTGGAGAGCTGCTCTCTAAACAACACAATTGCCTGAACTGAGACACTTCAAAGAACATTAAACAGCCCCTGGCTCTCAATCAGTGTGGTCACTGTCCCACTTTGAGGTACTCATTATCCAGCATGTGAATGTTTACAGTAAGGCAAGTCTTATACCAGCTGGGTAGGGTAGAGGTAAACTGTGACTTCTTTTTTTGAGAAACAGTGAAAGATCACTGCTTTTCTCCAAGAAAGCTGCAGTTTCTAGCTTTGAAATGCTTGAAATTCTCTGTAGCTAACAAGCGTGTGACTTTATCATAGACATCTGTTCATGACTGACAGCAAGAGCATCCTATTTCCTTTGTCTTGAATTCTTCATGATTGAACTACTGCACACAACAGAAATAACTGATTTGGCACAAAATATCAACCAAGAAGACCTGAAGGAGCAGCAGATGCCTTGCCTAATGCAGACCTCCACGCAGAAGCATTGGTGAGAATGCACAGTGCAGGAGCAAAGAAACTGATACTAAACTCCTGCAGCCAATGACTTCTACCAAGGTAAGACCTTCTGTCAGTTCAGAAAGCAGATACATATATCGCCAGAGGTTTTCTGTGAAAGTCAGCAGAGGGGCTGGTTCCACCTGTGTCTTTTTTATCTTGGGTTTGGCGGGGAGAAGAGGAAGAAGGACCTTAGTCCAGCAGAGTTAAAACTACACTGGCAGAAATCCTCTTCCTCTTCTTCAAAGGAATGCAAGCAGCTCAAGGCTTTTATGTCTGGAGGTGGCCTGCCGTTTTCTCTAATGAGAAGGCAGGCTGTGTTGGCCAAAGTGTTCAACTACTATTGTGTGTGAAGGAGAACAGGAACTGAGAAGGAATTACAAACTGACGAGTCATGTTATGACTTCTTATCTTTCTTTCAGGAGAGAAAGAAGGACAAGTTTCCCTTTTAGATTTTCTAGTTCATTGGGTAAAGGGAAACCATGTTTTACTTTTAGCAGCTCTTGTTCTTCCACGTGCTTCTGGACCTAAGGGCACAGGTAGAGTTGCACTGCTGGGAAGGCTGGTACATCTGACAAGCCAGACTGAACTGTCAGTGTGAGCCCAGAGAATTTTCTTTCATTTCTCATGCTGCGCTTGTGAATTCTATAGAACCAGGGGAAAAAAAGATTCAAGGACACTGGAGGCAGTTTTAGCCAAGAGGATTTCTTGAGCAATCTAAGTGGTTGAGGATCTTTTCTCAAACAAATTTTGGATCAATGGGGTGTCTTCTCATGTACAAATTGAACTGAGGGATTTTCTTTCCTTTATGCATGCTTCTTTCTAAAGCCAGTCTAACAACTAACTAGTGAGGACTGTTGTCACTGGACACCAGCTCAAGCTCTGATAGCTTTTGTAAGAGCATTTGTATCAAAATATTGTTGTGCTGGAGTCCCCACGGCCATCTGGGGCTTTGTGCTGACAGGGTGCTTACAAATGAATGTGAACCAAAGCAAATCAACATTGCTTGGCAGGGATGAAATATATTGCTAGGGTCTGTCTCTGCCAAGCTAGACTGTTTGGCTCCAGTCCCACTCTTCAGGGGGATTGTCTGTCAAAACACAAGTTGGTATTATACAGTGTCATGGTTACTTGGATCTCTAGTCCTTTAACCCCTCTCAGGCCTCATCCTTCTGCTATTTGTTGAGTGGAAACCTGTGAACCTCCAATTCTTAAAGCAGACCTTGAGCTCTGGTACCTTGCACCAATTGTCCCTCATGTCACTGTGCCATTTCAGGTAGAGCTTTCTCTTAGGAGAGAGTTAGAAGATTGCAACCCTTTTGAAAAGAAGGCATTATTTCTTAATGCCATGAAATGTTAAGAAGACATATATTTTGTACCATCTCATGATGGAAGCCTGACTTCTTGGTCTAACCACCTCAATCAACCGGTCATCTTTTCAAGGTGGGAGTCCATTTTGGACACTTTATTGTCTCTCCTTTATTATCCCATTCCTTCATGGGCAGCAGCTGTCGTTTCTGCTGAGCCCTGCTGGTAAGCCCAGAAGCCACCCATTAAAGGACAAGACAAGCCATCGATGTGAATGTCCTCATGGGTTTGCCAAGAGGTCTACCATAATATTTCTCTCCACATTTTTGGACATATTTCTGAATTCATTCAACATAAGTACGCACATAAAAATTTCCACAGTGGCTTGACCAAGACATGATATTACAGGTAGCTCCAAGCCCATAACATACATTTTTTGCTTTAGTGAAAATCCACTGTAAGCACTGGTAGAAGTGCTGTCTCTGAGCACAGATTCTGCAGGGCCATGTCCCATTCTTCAAGTCCAGAGAGGAGCAGCAGGAGGAGGACGTGCATATTCCCTTCGGGAGGCGGATGAAGTGGCAGATCCTCAGCTGAGACCTGGCTGAGTCTGGAGATAGCCGAGCAAAGTGTGACTCTGCAGAGGTGTGACACACAGCACGTGCTGTCCCTCAGGCAGGCAGCTGCCCACACCACTGCCCAGGCTGTCACGTCGCCCATCAGCCCGGCGTGCAGCTGCAGCCTCATCCCCTGTTTGCGGGGCAATAGCAGCCTTGCACAGGCTGGGACGCCCTCAGAACACAGACCGGCTTCCTGGGTCACGCAGCCTTGTGGCCTTCCCTCGTGTAGCAGGACTTGAGTGTTTTCCTTCAAAGTTCAGGCTAGAGCATGCCAGTACCACCTGGCTCTCCCAGGCAATGTCTGCTCAAGGCACCAGGACCTGTTATCATCCCAGCAGACTGGAGACTACAGTCCAGATGTCCTTCCAGGCATGGAGCTTTACGGATGGCCCCAGGGCTCAGCTGTCTCTGACACGAGGTGCAGCATGGCTGTGGGTTGGTTTTGCTGAGAAAATTGCTGCTGCACTGTGAGAAAATACGTGAACTAAAGCCAAGCAAGATAAGAAAAGTCAAAACATAGAATTAAAGTTGTCAAGATGATGATAGCTAGCAATGCAAGGCTTCAAAAATAAATGCTATGTGAAGAGGGATAAAGCCCTGAGGGGCTAGTTCCCTATGTTGCTCTAAAGATCCTTGGGCTGGAGCTTAGAAATGCTCCAAGTCCTTGTCTCAGGTGTAACTCTTATGTGAGGGTATGTCCCAAGTGCTGGGTTCCAAAATGGGAGTAGAAAAAAAAAAAAGGGAAGAAAAAAGTGGCTGGGTGAGTCACAGACAGGGAGATGTCCATGTGGAATGAATATAGTCCACTGGAAGAGAAGTGTCAGGAATTTTACTGAGAAAATTAACACAAGCACAGGCAGCTGAAGGGCCTGAGCAGTTCTGCTCAGCTGCAGGTTCCCACTTCATCCCCTTCAACCTGCCTGGAATGACTCTCTCCTACAGAAAATCCCAGCACACCTTCCCTTGGCAGGGCACCTTCTTTTTTGAGCTGGAAGCCCCATGGGAGAAGGGCAGGGACAGCACCTCTCCAGCCATATCCTGGGAGCAGTGACCTGCAGGCAGCAGCTTTGGCTCATGGGCACTAGCGCATAGTACAAAAGGCAAGCCAGGACATGAGGGGGTTTGCACAGGGGTGAGTAAGTGTTTGGGGCAAAGGGGGCTGAAAGCCATCTTGCTGAGATTGCATCAGCCTGGTGTTTGGTAAGAGGCAACTGGACATGCTGGATGTGCAACTGGGAGCTTTGGAAGGAGCAAACAGAAGTTCAGACATCCACAATGGGGTGGTGGCCAGCTATCACAACCTTCCCCAGGTGTAAACATCTGCAAAGGGCATTTCCCACAGTGTGTGAGACAACATTATGAATACTATGAAATTCTTTTATTTGGGAAAAACAAAATCCATTAGTGAGTTAATATGCAATTATGGTGTACAACAGGTGCTGGCATTGCATTAGAGGTATAGTCAGGTTCCTGTGAAGGAGAAGAACCTCACGGTAACTTGTGACTAAAATGTGAACAGGTTTTCATTTTTAATATGAAATTAGGCACCATCCAGCATTTAATATCTAAATAATATCAACAACCAGAAATGCATCATTTTTCTACTAGTGCATCGGGAGCTGGATTAGTCCCAGTGCAGCACAGAGGAAGCAGAGAGGACAGGGTCCTTCGCAGGGACTCGCGTCCTTGTAGAGGTGAGCTTGCTCAGCTGGTACTCTGCGGTACCGCCATGCCATTGAAACACTGGACCTCAACTCATATACGGCACTTCCCAACTGGAGAGATGTTTTGCCTTAATCTCAGCCTTTCTACCCCAGGCCACTGCCGGAGATAGGAGAAGCGTGCGCACGTTCACGTTTCCGGAGAAGTAACACTCTCTTTTAAAGAAAGTATCCCCTCTCTGTGAGACCTCCGCAAGCCGCAGCCCCGAAGCGGAGCTGTGTGACCGTGGAGCGGGCTCCGCTCTGTGCCGGCAGCGCTGGCAGGGTGGCCGGGCGCCGCGGCCCCTCCTCGCCAGGGTCACGGGCAATGTGCCCTCGCTCGCCTTCCTCGGGTGTGTCAGCCCAGTGTCCCGAGAGCCTCCAGTTACTTTTGTGCCTGTGTTTTCCCCATCCTTGCGAAGCACTTTTTCCTGCCGCTGGGAAGTATCGAGCTCTTCGCTCAGCTCGAGGTTAATCATCTGCTTGCAATTACTCTGTGACCTCCCACGCCCGCGGCGCAGGGCAGCGCTGTAGCTTTAACACGGGCGCTGGAAGCGGGACAGGGACAGCAGTGCCAGGTCCGGCCCCGGAGCTGCCGCAGATCCCTCTCTGCTGCCTGCCATGGGGAGCCACAGCCTCCTCGCCGCCCTCCTGGCCGCTGCCCTCGCCGCCCTCCTGCCGCTTCCCGCCGCCCCCTCGGCCCACCGCAAGCTCCTGGTATTCTTGCTCGACGGCTTTCGCTTCGACTACATCGATGACAGCGAGCTGGAGGGTCTGCCGGGCTTTCGGGACATTGTGAACATGGGGGTGAAGGTGGATTACATGACCCCAGACTTCCCCAGCCTCTCCTACCCAAATTACTACACGTTGATGACGGGTGAGTACTTGGATTTCTGTGCTGTGATCCTCCTCGGAGCTGCCAGCTCCCTGTGCCGAAGTGGAGGGCAGCTCCCTGTGACTTTTTCCTCCAAAGATGTAAAAATGCCACAAGTCGTGCTTTTAGCTGGGAGATTAAAAGCGCTGTGGCATTACAGCCCAGCATTGCTTTTCTGAAACCTGCCCCAAACTCGGAAATGCCGCTTGGAGTTGATTTTTGAAGTTCCTCTCTGCTAATCCACGGTGTTGCTGGGTCCCTATCTGCTGCCACTGCAGCAGCACGGCCAGTTGGAGTTTCCTGGTGGGAGCACTGGTGGGAGCTACTGCATATATATATAGAACATAAAAATAAGTGGGAAATGCATGGAAAATGAATACAGAGCCTGCTCAGGGACTTTTCAGTTAATAAAAATGTGTGTAAACTCAGTGTGCCTACAAGAAGAACTGAGTCCCAGTCAGTAGGTCTGTTTTGGGAAGTTCAGCATTACATTTCTGTTTAAACTTAGTAGACTTTCTTTTCACAGGTCCCTGTCTTAACTTTGCGCTAAGTCATCATATCTGTAATAATCTGAAATACCCAAATAGAAAAACATTAAGGATTTTTGCTTTTGCTCCCCTGCAGTTTTTCTGAATGCCCAGGAGGGGCTTTCAGAAAATTGAGAGCACAGTTATAGTTTTCATGATGCTGATTTGCTTTTAAGTGGAGAACACATGATTACATGATTACAGTGACACAAGGAAGCTGCACAGAGTACAGCTGGGCCAATTTCATCAGACAGGCATGCAGGAAACAACAGTTAAGTGAAAAAAATTAAAAACAATTTTTTCTGGAGTTTCTGATTGGATTCTACTCTGGAGTTATTTAACAAACAAGAACTTCTACCTAATAAGGAGGAGTGAGAAAATTTATCTTCTCCTAAGATATGTGGCATCTTCCACTATCCTTGGAACAATGCAGTGCCCAGTGATCCATATACTGCTTGCTGGGAAAGCAAATAGATGCCATTGTAAAACAGATATCTGACATCAGTTGTGCCCAGCTAGTTTTAGAGATGTTTAACCCCTTCCTCCCTTTCTCTCAAGAGAAACACCTTTCTCTTGCTCATCTCTGAACAGAAAAGAGTGCAAAACCACCACAAGTTTTTGGCTTTTTTTTTTCTTTCATGACTTGGTGCAAATGTATGTATGCAGAATAAATGTTGTGACTGAAAACAGAGGTGTTGTTCCACTCCAGACCATGTTCTTTAGGTGTACATAGGCAAAGCAGCCTAACACTTCATGGGTGCAAAAAAGTCTTTGGATGGAGCTGTTAAAGAGAAGAGGGAAAGTGAGTGACACATTTCACTCCTTACCACATTTAGTCATCTCTCCTTTTAAGTGTGTATGAATAGAGTGAAGTCTCTAATCAGTCTTTTGAGGAGCTTTGAAAACATCCTACTTTGTGCTCAAAAAGGAGTTTTGTTTTAGGTAATGAAATACCACTAGTAGACTTCACATTTGTAAGGTGCTAGAGTTCTACACCCCAGCCTGAAGCAATGAGATAATCTGTGAGATCAGCTTTAACTCTTCTTGCAAGTCTTCCAGACTTTATGATGAGGATATCAATGCAAATATAACTTCATTGCACATAGCAATTCACCTTCCTATCATGTGAGCCACAGTAGCGTTAAATAGGCCAGGAACCAACAGAGGACAAAGTTTAGGTAATAAACATGCCCAAAGGAAGGCCCAAGAGTGCCCTTGAGCCCTCAGGGTGTTAGTGGACCCCACAGTTCTGTCCGGGCATGACAGCAGGGTAAGTCTCATGGTTGCACTGTTCTTACCCTTTGGGGCCATGGTGCTGTCTCCACAGAAAGGAGAGGTTGGGCTGGGAGTTTGGGGCACGCAGCAGATGTAGTGTTAAGCAGTGTCCAGTCTGTGCATGTTCTGTTTACAAAGTTGGGACAGCTTTTGGAGAAAATGCAGCATGACAGGGTGACATGAGCATCATGCTGTAGTGACCTGCTTAGGGCCTGGCAAACTGCCATCTCCCTGTTGCTGCTGTACGAGCATGGGAAAGCTTGCACTGCGTTACATCAGCTATGCATCTCCTCTGCTGGGGAGAGACACAACTGTAACTGGTTTCGTTTGCATTTGTGACTGGGATGTCTAGAAGTCGAATGCTGCCATAATTTCATCTGGGGAATTAGGGACAAACTATTCTTCATATATTGTCCTACATTGCTGCTTCATGAGCTGTTAAGAAATTCACATTACAACCTCCAAAATGTTGTACTTAACATTTGTGAATGTGGCTTCAAAGTATATTGGCTTCTTGCAGCTAAGTCAGCTTAAGATATTTCTGGCCCCACTAGCACATTTCTACCCCTAGCTTGTTCATTATATCCCACCGTTTTTTGTTTTGTTTTGTTTTTGTAAATACTCCTGTCCCTTTTTTCTCTGCTCATTTGCAAGGCCTTTAAATTAAGGAGCGTACATGGCTGCCAGGTCTAGGACAGTGTGTGCATGAAAATGCTGCAGATGGCATGTCTGTCTTGCCTTTATTCATTCTTGTGAACGAGGCCTCTCCTTTCTGCCTACTGCCCTTACCCCACATCTGTGACTCTGGAAAAGTTTAGTTGATACTGAGGGAAGCTCTTCCTCATTTTGGTGGCTTTGGAGGAGGACAGTGGAGTCTGCTCCTCAAATATCATCACTCTTGGGACAGGTCAGTCTCCTCAAACATGAACTCACCTCTTGCTCCTGCCCAGACCTGCAGGCAGAGGTTATGGATGTCAGCAGCGTCGGTAGCATCCGTCCCTCTGCCTCTGAGTGCAGATGCCAAACTGCACACTTCAGCCCTGCCAGAGCACAGCTTTCCTCTGGAATGGGCAACTAGCAAGCAATGGCACGCAGCACAGCTGCCCAATTATCTGCAGGATCTTCAAGTCATTATATTTTACTTTACCAGTGATTTCAAGAGGGCAGCCTTACTGAATTTAACATTCATGGGAAATGGCAAGCGTACTCAGATTTTCAAAGCTATAACCAAATAGATGCAACTGTAACTGTTGACCAAAAGCCCTGTATCTAAAAGCAAATATTTAGTGTATGCTAATGAGAAGCACACCCTGCTTTGCTGAGGCAAGGTGCTTGGTGAAGCGTCAATGCAGCAGGATGAACAGGGCCCAACCTGGGTAAACAATTAGGATAAATATTGGAAGGGAAGCACGGGAGGGAGGTGACTTGCCCGTGGTCATGCAGTGCTGCAGGGCGATGGCAGAGCTCTTCATGGGTCCCCCTCCTACTTATGTCTGCTGTTAACCTATGAGAAGATACTTGCTGGAGCTTCATGAAGTGACACAGAAGGCCTCAGAGCAAAGCTGAGAGCCTGTGTAGAGATCTTTTCCCTTTCTCCACACCTACAACAATTATGAGAAAGAAAACCAGAGCATAGAATTAAGAAAAATGCTAATGGTTTACTTGCTTTATGTAAAGTCACTCAATGATTCAGAGCTTGAGATGAAGCCCCAGTCTTCCTGCAAGCCAGGTAAATGGCATCATAACCTGCTATCTGCTTGAAGAAGCACCAAACAAAAGCTAAGTTACTGCTGGTCCAAAGGGATCTCACTGACATTCAAGCAGAGAAGTTTTTTTGTTACAAAAATCTAGTGCTGTGCGAGGTAGCCCAAGGATGTGCTGGCTCAAAATCTGAATCTTTGAAAAGCAATCTTCTCTAACGACTTCATTCATTCTCAGCTTTGGCTTCCACAATGGCATAAAGGCTTGTTCTTGGGTGGTTGAGTTGCTTTCTGAGCTGCTAGACTGGATCCTACCTGGTGTCCTAGCTCTACACGGTGCAGTTATGACACTGAAGTTGTTGGCCTGCAAGACATGAAATGGAGAATTAGGTGAAAGATGTTGCTGATGACATATGAGAGAGATTTTACAGGGCTTTTCATGGTCTTGGCAAGGGAGGGAAGAAAGAATCCAAATATGTGTATCCCAGAAAGCTCCCTTAATCACACCATGTGCTGTTTGTTTTGCAAAGGAAGGAATTAAGACCACAAGCCACTAGGGTTGTTATCCTGTGGAGAGCTTTTAATTTTTCTCTTTCCCTGCTGTGGCCTGGTGCTGCAGGGAGCTCTCACACCAAGCTCAGTGGAAAGTCTGAGGTCTCCCCTGCAGCAGCTGCCAGCATGAGTTATTGCTTCAGAGCCTTTCATGCCATATGTGTCAAGCAAAACTGAGCACAGTGAGGGTTTGGGTCTCCCTCACCTGCCAACCCACAGGTGTTGGAGGGGTGCTGGAGGACTGCCTGTACCCCAGCTCTCCTGAAGTCCCACCCAGCTCAGGTCACACGGGGCCCCCTCCCATTTCCAGCCAGCATAAACATGGGCAGACAGTATCATATCTGAGATGGAAACCCAGAGGGAATTTGTTTTCCAAGATCCTAACAAGAAATGAAGTCTTTCTGGCAGGTCCTCCATGAGGATGTGCCAGCTGCCTGGTTGGCTGTGCGGCCCCACATCCAAGAGCTGTATTTCACTTGGCCTTCACGAAAAGCAGAGGGAGTCCCTGATTGCAGAGGTGGGGAGGGAACTGCTTGGAAGAGGAGCAAGGAAGGGGCCTCTATATCCCTCTTTGGACAGAACCTGATCTTAAATAAGTGGCAGAGGGGCTTTGAGGTCCCGTAAAGTTTGTGGGGTGGAGGAGGAGGTTGAACAGAGGACATTTCAGTCTCCTGCACACAAAGTGAGGGCTGTGGCCTTTGCGGAGCTGATCCAGACTCACTGTAACACAGTGGTGGCATGTTTGGGGTTTCTTTAAAATACAGGGGTGGTGGGTGGTGCTTTCTGAGTCACTGCTGCTCATTCCTGCATCTGCCATCACCTCCTCCTCTGGGTGGCAGGAGGGAAAGGGGCAACATGGGAGAGGTCTCAGGGATGTGTGACATCAAGGTCTACTCTGCCAGACTGAAGGTTTCACCCATCTTCCATGTTTCATGTGTCCTCCCTCCAC